TAAGTAACAAGCGTATTTTTAGTGTTCAATGATACCGAACAGGGCCCGAATTCCCTTCGGTGCTTGCTCTGATCGGCGCTCTGAGCCCGTGATTAGTTAGGTCAGCAGATATCAACCTAAAACCAACATGGCGACTTGTTTAGTTAATTACCATTTTTTATGATCTTTATTGCTAGCAATGTTATCATTATAATTGTTTCGTTATCTTAAATGTATAAGTCATGTTCTAGTGTACATATATAAGTTGGCATTTTTTCCTCACAAGGTAACGCCAGTCTTCGCCAACTCAACGTACGTCAAAGGGTCTACGAAAACCGTCAAGATTGACGCACCGTGTATGTCTACTTAGCTTGCTCTATAAATTTGTCAAAACAAAAGACTGGATTTTAAATTTGTTATTTAATCATTAATCTTAAGAAAAATGAATATATTTTACCTTTACTTAATCAGATCCGAGACGAAACCTTGTTGAGGTCCGCAACCTTACATACAYTGGTATAAGGCAAATCAATGGCACAAAAACAATGAAATTTAGCTGGTTAAAACCACAGTTTCGCCACAGCAATGCCACTAGATACGTGGTAAAGTACACCATCGGCCCAATAGGGGATAATAAGGCCATCCCGACTATCAAGAGAACCAGGAGATCAACAGGCAACCAGACGAATACAGGATCAATAACAGAGAGTGTCTTGGTACGTTGATTTTCTTTTTATCCCCTCCCTCCCTTCCTCCCTCCCTCTCTATTCCTTCCTTTCCTTCCTGCGACTTCCTTCATTCCCTTTCTCCCACTTCCTTCCTCCCCTTCCTCACCCTTCCTCCCTTCCTCCTTCACTTCCTCCTTTCCTCCACCCTTTCTACGTCACTCTCCCTCCCTCCCTTCCCTGCCTGCCTCCCTCACTTACTTTTTTCCTTCCTGCCTGCCTGCCTGCCTGCCTGCCTCTCTTACTCCTTTCCTTCCTGCTTCCCTCCCTTCCCTGCCTGCATGCCTCCCTTCTTTATCATTACTGAATATTTTTTGTTTTGTTTTAGACGACCATTTTTTCCGCTCCTTTATTGGAAAACGACAAACAAATCACTCTAGAGGTAAATTTGACATTCAATAGTTATGAAATACTTGTTTCTTTTTATGACTCTCGCCTTGCAAAAAACACAATGCACATATTTCAGTAAACCAACGTCACTT